TCTCTCTCTTCTCTTTCTCTCTCACATACCGTTTTCTCCAGTGTATCCTGGCTCAGCCAACTGCAGCACCTCATCATAACCATCACTGCCTGCACTAGCTCTGCTGTTTATGGTCTCTGGACAACACAAATTCACGTAGATATTAAGATCACATCCGTGACAAAAGAGAAAACGTGTTTTTCTTTATTATCCCTATATAGTAAATAAGTATGTGTTTTGCCCCGCAAGTGTGCTTTGACAATACTCTCTCTTATGGTCATGTCAATACAGCAAGCCGATTTACACTGAATTAAATACCAATGTTCAATGACTTACTTTGAGTTTTCCTCTTAAAATAGCCAAGAAAGCTATATAAGTTTTTAAACCCAAAGCTTTTCATCTGGGTGCACGTGACTTCCAGCATTTTATGCACAGTGTAGCGTTTGGACGTTGCAGGTCATGTTACACACTTACACAGTCTGCGTGTTGATCTGCTATAACACCTCCTTTTTCCATCCGCATCTCTTCTACCTTTCTCAGTGTGAAAATACTTGGGGCTAGACTTAAATACACAGGGCTATAGCCCCAAGTGATTGGACCTAACGACAGCAATGATCATTACATATATAGATTTATCCTTAAAAAGAATAGTACTGTTCATTTTAGCTAGTTGATTGTACTTACCCTTAAACCTACATTAATCAACACTGAGTTTCATTACAATTTCCAAGCCCCATGTAGACCTGGGGGGACCCAAACCCTGGTCTTCAGAGGTGTCATAGAGCCGTAGTAGCCACTGTGCCACCATGCCACACCTACTTCAGGAGACAGAGAGATGCCAGTTCAGTGTGTGTATTTGGACTGTGGGCAGCAGCAGTGTTTACCACCACTCAAACCATGCCTTTGTCTGGCACCCTCTGTTGGCTACAATCAGTCACTACACTAAACTGTAAATCAACTTTTCTTATTTAGGAGATGCTGAAGCAGTACGTTTTGCAAACACCAGCTAGCCGGAGGAGATCTGGAGTATTGAGAGTAAGCCACTCACGCAGACCCAGAGGTGGGAACCAAACCCCTAACCCAGGAGCTGTGAGGCTGCATTGATTCACAACGTACAACCTTATCCTATGAATAAACGTTTTTAGAAACATTTAAATATTTATAGCAAAATGTTGTAATTGACAACCATTCTATAGATGCATCATGCCATAGCTTCATGTACCTGGTGGTTTTACGGGATCCCATTGGGTACTCCTGCTTCACCCTGAAGACATGCATCGGCAGGTAATTATGGGCTGTAAAATGCCCCCTCCTTTATACAGAGCTCATTGTGACTCTAAGTGTTCATTAAACATGGATGAGGCCTTTGTTGTGGGCAGGTTAGCTAGTAGTCAGTGCTTAAGGACCATGAGAATGCACTTCCTGTCAAAGGGGCAGAACAGCACTCTCACTTCCTGTCAAAGGGGCAGAACAGCACTCTCACTTCCTGTTCTGAGCAAAATATGCAAAAGCAAAAAGAAATGAAGGCTTATAAGTGTTTACAGGCTGTTTTTTAAGGTGAAACAAGGCATGTTTAACAGCTTATAATACAAAATGTGCCCGTTGTTACTAGAACTTTCCAAAAAACATTATTCATTCCTAGGCTTTGATCATTATGGGAACACATTGTCTATGTGTGCATTTAAATAAATATATACATACATACTGTTGAAGTCACATTTATGTTGCACTTACTTGCAGATTTACGGTAAGGGTGTATGCATCACGTGATGCTTGGCACGGTAGATTGTAATTTTATCTGTGCACCTGCTAATGGGTTTTTGGTAGAGTGGGGAGTCACTTATGCATTAACGCTTATGCCTCATTTTATTAATTTAATATGAGTAATGAAAGAAATATGTTGATAATGTAATACGGAATCTTTTTCCCGGTGTTTGGAAAGTGCGTCTGGCAGACCTCCCTTCCTTATAGCATCTTGTACACGTTTTCTGAGACATACATACATACATACATACATACATACATACCATTATGGTAAACTCTCATTTCTGCAACTCTGTCAGGGTTTCTGAAGCATTTCAATACAAAGCCTTCGGCCTAGTTTTAATATATTACATTTGTCTTTAGATGAAGAATTAAATAAGTAATACTACGCAGTACAAGTCACTGGAAAACATCGAAATTTCACTTCAAGTAGTAAAATAATTATTCCAGAGAGGAATCATGGATATCAAAACATACCCTTTCACACACTGAAGAGGAGGTGTTGCAGGGGCATGGATACCCTGACAGATTCAAGGGCCCCGCACTTTACAGGGGNGGCCCCGCACTTTACAGGGGCCACAGGGGGGGCATGGATACCCTGACAGATTCAGGGGCCCCGCACTTTACAGGGGCCACAGGGGGGGCATGGATGCCCTGACAAATTCAGGGGCCCCACACTTCACAGGGGCCACAGGGGGGCATGGATGCCCTGACAGATTCAGGGGCCCCACACTTTACAGGGGCCACGGGGGGGCATGGATGCCCTGACAGATTCAGGGGCCCCACACTTTATAGGGGCCCTTGAATACGTAAAATTATAAAATGTAAGAGGGGTGTGGGGCCCAAAGTGGCATTTTGTCAGGGGGGTTACTTCCCTGATCTGAGGCAGTACCAGGCCCGTAACCAGAAATTCATTTTGGGGGGTGTCTGGCAACCATACCTATAAGTTTCGAGGTGGGTTCAAACTCATAAGTTGGCTACCTGGATATGCGATTGATCGGTGCCAAGTTCAGGGGGGGTCAAGCCCATTATTTTTGTATGTGGCTACGTACCTGGGCAGTAAATATTGGTTTGAAAAATAATACGCAAAAATGGCATAAGCAACTGCCGAATGATACAAAGACAGTTTGTAAGTGTTTATTCCCAATCCTGATCGTCGTATTTGTAAAAACCGCTTGTCGGTTTTCTGGGTCGACAGTAGAGTCTCATTCCGAAAGAAAAGTATCGATGATTTATAGTGATGGACAGCTCCTCCTCTTAAGTCCTTCCAGACTAACTGTGGGCGATGACGTATCTGATGCAGCAATCTGGATCACATGAACTGCCAGACATTTGCAGTGTTACACTTCTGCTACTATCTTAAATGAACTAATTTTACTAATTCAGTTTCCGCTACCGCACCTGCACGATCAAATGTGATCTCTGCAACACTGTGTGTGACGCATTAAAATCTCATTAAAAGCTAATTAGAAACCCCCAATGAGAACCCCATCAGATATCATAAACATGTTCATTATTATAATGTAATAATGTCTATTTTGAACACTGTTCATTTGGTGATATCTCTGTGAAACATTCCGGTAATTAATTCTCTGGGATATTTTTGAAAATGAATTCAATTATTGTTTTAATCAATTGTAGTAACTTTAAGCACATTTGTGTGTGATGAAGCCAACAGTCATTATAAGGCATAATTATAGAATTTCGACAATGTTTCAAACATTTTTGGAAAATGCCCTAGATGTTCATTTGCAATCAAAGTAAGGCTGTAATTGGTCTCTTCCCACCCTGATCACCTGGATATAATTACAGGTGTACAATCACCAACATCATACTGGTAAAATGACATGAACTATAACGAAAATGTCATACTACTATATCAGAAATCACACGCACAACGTTTGATTGTTTCTGGATTGTGGCAGGGACCTAGGATACCTGTAACAAACCTCCACATCATGAAACGAACATGCAAACTCACCATTTGTGCACAGCTCACTACAGTTTGTGTACCAGCCACACGTGGGTGTTTGAAACTCCATCATCTACATGCTTCACTGGCTTACATATATCTGGAAGGGTCAGGCAGCAGAGCGACAGTTGTTGTTCAACTTCTCCAGTGCTTTTAATACCCTCAGACCAGCCTTACTGGGAGATAAGCTAAGATGCGAGCTGATTGGCCAGTGTAATGTGCAGCAGGGGGCAGCTCAGGGACCTGCATCATCGCCCCCTTCTGTTCACACTCTGCACCTCTGACTTTTAATATGACTCAGATGCCCGTCACCTGCAGGAGTGATACTGCGGCAGGTAAGAACAACGGACAGGAATCAGAGTACAGTAACACCTCCACCTTAGTCGAAAAATGACAAAAAAAAAATCCCCTAAAAAAAATATGTACACTCCGTATAAACATTTATAAAGCATTCCCTCAAATTTATAAACTTTATTCATGTTAAAGAAGAAAAAGAAAAAAATTACGAGCGACGTCAGTGTTTCACGTAACACGAATCGACGTGATGGCGGTTTTACCTGCAGCTCAACATGTCAAAGACAAAAGGGACCGGTGGCGGATTTCAGGAAATGGAAATCGGCCAAAATATTCGTGAAAGACTGCAGGCCGACAGGTACCTGGGAGCGCAGCTGGACAGCAGCTGGACAGCAGGCTGGGCTGGGCAGGAAGACCGGGGCGGAGCAGAGAACAGCCAGAACCGTACTTTCTGAAGAGGCCTCAGCCATTTGACGTCTGTACCAAGTTCTCCCACTTGGTGTCGTGTGTTACGGTAGCAGGGCTTAATAAGCCGATCAGGAGGGCTGCCCCTGTGTCGGGGGGGCAGCTTCGCTCCCTGCTGACTGCGGCTGAGGAGAGGATGCTGGGTAAACTTGCTGGCATGCTGGGGAACGCCTCCCACTCCCCGCACTGCACCCTGAACACTTATCAAGCTCCTGCCGCACCGAGGAGCTCCTCCACCAAGCGACACAGGAGGTCCTTCCTCCCCGAGGCCATCAGACTGATCATCTCCTCTCACTTCTCTCAGGAGGAGACATCTGTTGATTCTTGTTCTCCAATTCATTTTTTTGCACATTATTCTGTATTTTTCCACATTACGGTACACCCTTTTTACACCCTTTGCACATGCACACTCACTTCAGTTACAGAGCTTGTCTTTTTATCCTATTTTTCCTTATACTCCCATTTTACCATTTTGTTTTTTCCACTTGTATTGCAGCTGGATTCCTGATTTTATTGTACTCCTGTGTTCTTATATTACATTGTATTCTTTATTCTTGGTATATTTGAGCACGGTGAGAGCAGTGCCTTGGCACAACAATTTCCCCCAGGACAAATAAAGTTTTATCTTATCTAAAAACACACCCGGGAGGTGTGAAGTGAGCATGCTACCCACAATGCAACAGCGCCCCCTACCTACACACTCTTATTCTAAAATCACCAAAACATACCAATCCATAATATTCCGCTTGTGGTGCCAAAACGGTAAGATTTACATAACAGAATTATTTGTGAAGTATCAGATTTTAGGGACACCGATCCAGCTCTTCAGGGGAGGACTTATCAAACATGCTGCAGTAATCCATGGCTTTACAAGGCAAATTACATAACATTTACATTTATTCAGCAAACGCTTTTATCCAAAGTAACACACAGCTGACAAGGCAGGGCCAGCCAGTCCCTGGAGCAAATGGGTGTTAAGGGCCTTACTCAAGAACCCAACAGTGCAATCACCCTGCTAACCACAGAATCAGAACCAACAACCATCTGATCATAGTCACAGCATCCAATCCCGCGGAGTCACACATTACTTTGACTGCATGTTAAAAAGGTCATAGGATGGCTTCCCCTCATCCCACAACATGGATAAATACCCCCCGCCCTAAAATGACAAACACACAGTCTCCTGTACGTGTAGCAGACCTCGCATGTAAATCGCCGGCCTCCATCCCCCGTCAGTAAGGCTTCCCACCCCTGGCTCGCAGGATCTCCTCCCTCTCCTTCAGCGTGGGTATGTCTGGCCTCACGCCCTCCTTCCGCCGCTGCAGCATTATGCCGTGCTGGAAAGGACCATGGGTGACACGGCAGGTGACGGAACACGCCAGAACCCGCTGCCCACTACAGCTCTGCACCATGTCCTGTTGGTGCGAGGGACCCTGAGAAATCCGCCACACCCAAGCCAGTCTAATGATCCTCAGCCTTCCGGTTAAAGTTCTTGTATAGAAAGTGTCAGCGTAGTAGCAGGGACAAATGATTGACAGACTGGAACATAGAAATACTAGCCAAACCTAGATTTTAGATGCAAGCGGTCATGGACAAATTTGTGCTATTTGTGGAGGCATTGGTGTGAAGTACTTACCCAGAACTTTCTGCAGTTTTTGTACTTAATGAAATACGCTGTGCACTTGTCCTTGTTGTAATTATTGGCATCTAAACACTTCCTAGAATCATCGCTTTCCTTAAGGTTAAATGGGACAAAAAAGGGAGAATTTAAGGGCTTGTACACAAAGAAAAGTGTGAATTTTGTGTTTAAATGTGCAGAACTCCTGATGAAAGATTTACCTCAATGCATGGATTGATATCCTCGTTCCTAACTTTGCCTACATTTGAAGGCATCCTCACACCATCAGATATGTCTGAAATTTAAAAAGGGAAAACTTTTTCATATACTGTATTATAATTAGTAGGCCTATTTCACATTTATGAATCAAAAAACAAAGATAAGCAATGACATTTTCCCATGTTTCCACAAGGGAGTAGTATTCATATGCATTATTCATTATTACACAAAGTTTAGGAGTCAAAATGTTTTTTAAATTGTTCACCCTTGTTTCTGGGAGGACAAATGAACACATATAATTACCATATTTTAAAACACAATGAAGCTCAACTTCAGTTAAACTCTAATGATTTTTGATTATGAAATTACATAAATATCATCATCGTTAATATAAACACTATTTATAAAGAGGTCCAATCTTCCCCCAAGAAGAGTAACTAATTTAAAAAAAAAAGAGACAGATTAACATTCTTTTAACCAAACAGATTTCATTTATTAGATTGATCATCCACAAACATAAAAACAAATCTAACATGTTATTGCGTCCCGTTTTGTAATGTGCATGTCCCGATAGTGTCCAAACAGCAGTTTCACAATCTTTAGCTACCGATCTTGGCTAAATTAAATACCCCAGAGCGACTGTTGCATTGCTGAAAAGCTGTAATTAAAAGCGTCCGGTGACTTGCAGGCTGATCTGCTCGTCGGCATTTAGTAAGAAGCAATGCTCCTGTACATCACTCGACAAACCAGAACCGATTACGTTTTAACCTAAAACACCCGGGGCGCCTTATATGAGACACTGCCACACGGACAGCTGATCCCGTCGGTGACCTTCATTGCTACCCGGTGCACATCACACAAAAGTACGTCCGTAACACGAAGCTACACACAAAGTGGTTAGCGGCCGGCAGCTAGGCATGGCGCAAAGATCAAAGCTCACATGGTGAACCGGTCGCCCGGTGGCCGCCGGCACGCAAGCCGCGGGTTTGATTCCCTGCAAAACGGGCGAAGCTGTGGTCCAGCCCCGGCCAGACCTAAACTGCATGCCAAATATGCCACAGACCCCAAGGCCCGCAGCGGACCTCCACCCTCATTAGCACTTTTTCATAGGGACAGGCGATCGGCAAACAGACGGCGAAAGTGAGGCACTCACATTTCTCGCTTTCTGCAATCCTGCGAACTCACGTTGCCAACCGAGACGTCATTTACCATTTTACCATCATCGCACAACCAAACAAACACGGCCGCCTCCTGATGACTGATGGCGTGCCTGACCAATTAGCTCTCAATTCAGAAACACGACCGATGGTCATAAATCCATTGGCACCAGGGATAGCCAATGGGAATGCCATATTTGCAGCTAAAGCCCGCCCGTTGTTGCAGATACCAGTAAAGAAAACACTTTGCGATTGACAGTACAGCGAGCGAGTCATAAAAAAGAGCATACAAGATCTAGCCCAATAGAAAGTCAAAAATATGGGAGTGGCATGGCGCGCAGCGAATCGTAAGTGAGAACTGGGAGGGGCTTTAAATGGGCGTGGTCAAGACTTGCGTTTAGTTGCACCGCAGCGCATACACAATGGCTGCTGGAAAGAGGGGAAAGCAAACAATTTTCAGGCCCGCAGCGTCCAGCAAAAAATATGAGAAAAAAATTATTAAAAATTCGGAAAATAGTTGAAAGTCAAGAAAAATACCGTAGAAAGGATGTTAAGGCTCCTGTGGTAAGTTTGACGCAAATTAAGTAAATTGTTACTTCCTTCTTAAATTAAAATATCGGGGTTATTCAAATTATGGGAGAGGGGTGAGCAAGGGAAAAAGTTTGTGTTAATCAACCCCCTGTTTGGGACCTCAGAGAAAGCCAAAGGAAGACATGAATAAGAGAGAAAAAAATAATAAATTTTGTTATTAGTCTGTCTCTTATCACATTGCATGCAAATTGTTATAAGTCCTCAGGGTAAATTTATGGTATACTGAAAAGTTACAAAAAAGTTTTGGAAAGATAGTTGGCGTAAGTTTTTTCTGAATTTAATAACAACAGTGTTGCGAGGACATCCGACGGGAAAGAAAAGTAACAGAAATTATTTTGGAAAAAGTTTTAAAAAGCATTCTACGTGCATGCCATGTCAAATTCGACATATATGTGCATGGAAACGCTGCATGTTCATGCGGTTATCGATTGAAGTAAGTTGGCATGTGTCTGGCTGCGTTTTAACATAAATTATAAAGCCTGCATATATTGTCATTTATTCGTCTCCATGAAAATGGTACTGTTTGTGAGAAGTTTTGCTTTCCAGTTTCTGGTAAAATGTTTTTATAGTGCATCAGGGGATTGCGGGACGCACTCTGCTAAAACAGATTAGTAACGAGTAAGTGAAGTTGCTTGTCAATACCACAAACAACCAAAATGGAGGGAGTACTGAAGGCAAACTAATTAGGCTATGCTAAACATTTGCTTAGAGATGAGTTCATCTAAGTTCCCTGTTCGAACTGTGTGCGATTTTGACTTTCTGCCAAGGGAGCGAAACGAAGTCAAGTTTTTTATTGATACGGTCACGTTGCAATCAATAATAATATCCTATGAAGTTTTTTAATAAAAAAAAAATACATAAACAGCTGGTCTGGAGTCTAGACATTATCAATATTCAGCTTAAGATTTGGTGTGAAAGTGTTGTGATGTTTTATTGTGCGGGATGCTCTTGTTTTTGTATTTGTCATATACAGTTATGATGTTTCACTCCACGTGATATTTTCAGAAACGCTTGTGCACGGTCCGTTTGCTTGGTGATTAGTCATTATTTTGTTTATTGCACATCAGTTGCATCAGTGGGGTGATCGTGTTCCACGGTGTCCACCCCTCCTTTAAGTGATCTAGGGGAAACACCGCATGGATTTGCATTGATTCAAAGGTCAGCGATTGCTTGTTTTGTGCTGATCGGCGCTGGAAAGTGCACAGAGCGGGACAGACATGTGTCCTGCTCCCGCAGCACATTGCCGTGCTTTCACCCATCTGTCCGCCGGTTTAATACAGACTGCGGCGCGCAGAGACCAAATGACGACACTGCGTCAAAGTTTCACCTACGATCCCGGGGTAATTAGTCGGTGGGTTTTGATTACAACGTTTTTAAATGCTGCCGATGTTAGTTTCACGTGGGAACCTGAAGTTTGGCATCTTAAAGCTACAGGAGCTCTTAAGCTGGCCGCCGTTATGGAATCTTCGGATAAATTAGTTAACATCTCTTATCGCCGTTTATCTCATCTAATACGTCGATACCATTCGTGGCTGTGTAACCGCATGTGCCAATATTTATGTATTGTTCCTCATTAAAATATTTTTCATTTAGTTTTTGAATTTTGATATATATGGGTGTTTTGCAAGTATAGTGAAGTATTTAATCTGTATTACATGGAAACCAGTGTTTAGAGTTACACGTGCAAATCGATTTCATCTAGTGCTGTTCGCTTCTGTTAATTTGCAGCCGTCGTTTGCGTTAGATGTTTTCCCGCTCATCCCATTCGTTGTCTTTGATTATAAAAATTTAATTGTGTATTGTGTGTTTAAAGGCGTTTTCGTGGGGATTTTAGTGGAAAACCTTTCGTCTGTGGTTCAGTGTGTTATTTGTACTGGGTCTGTGTTGAGCTGATCTTAAAGGACTGAGATTGTGTAATATCATTTACTTCTTGTGTAGCTTTTTTTAAAGTTATGCTATCCCTCTGCTTACAGAATATCCAGATTTCAAACAAATGGTATAAAGTGAGTTGTTTTAAACAAAAGTTTTTTTTGGGATGTTTCAACTTAAGATTTAAAAAAATTGCACCCAAAGGTGTAAATCAGATTCAACAGATTGTCAAATGTTCATATGGTCAATGATTTTATGTATAGCTTGTCTGCGGTTCTGCTTTTAAGATATGGGATTTCTCGTTTACTGTACTTGGTATTTTTATATTTTCTCACTCTACTGTGGATCTAATGACACTGAGAATATGTTTATAAAAGTAAGCATTTAAAAAGTGTCTATTAGGCTGCGACTTTTACATAATTTGTAAGTGTAAATATTTTAGAATGAATATTTTTGTCTAAAAAAACTGATTTTTAGTTTAGTGCTTAAACGCAGGGCGAGAACATTGTGTGTTTTATTAAATGTATTTGTGAATTTAATGTTTCACACAGAAACAAATCTTGAAGATACATTAATGATGCACGGCTTCTAAAAACAATTACATGTTTATTTGTTTTGATGCATTGAACTTTAGATCAGAAATTCTTTAACACACTAAAACAAAAAACAATCACATTGTGTAGCTTAAACGTGCAAACGTAGGCTAAATTAAATGTTTCCAAGATCAAAATGTGAGTTATCCTTTTGTGTTTGTAGTATTTTGTTGTTCTTTACTTCATTTGATTTCTGTTTTTAATTTTAGTTCAGATTCAGTGCTAGAACTTACTCTGTCTTCAGTTTTTCCCTATGTTGTGTTTGTTCTAGCAATTTCTCCTCTTGTTGTGCACTCAAAATGTATATACATTAATTGAAATAATAGGTTGCTTATACCAAAGTAATCTATTTAGATGCTTGAAAAACAGCAAGATTACAGATGTTGTTATCTGATAGTACAACTTCCACTTTGAATTAATGTCTTTGTTCCTGTGTGGGACAGCCACAGATTTTGAAACATTTATTCTGTACGTTTACTCGATTGAATGTACAGAAATGTATTAGTACGAATGAGTTTATTTATAATATGACCTTGTGTCCAGAATGAAGCTTAAATGAGCTGTCCTAAATATACATGTGCTTCTGTTTGTAAAATGTTTTTGTACATCAGAATTTCAACCAAAAGCAACGGAAGTTTACATTGATAAATTGTAATAAATGTCACAGTTTCATCTTTTAATTTTTGATAAGTTCAGATAGTTATTATGGAAACAAATTGTATTCTGTTAGAATATAAGACAAAATATTTTTTCCTTTTTTTTTTAGAAATATCATACACTAAATGAACTTTTTTTCAGTCAAATTATGATTAACTATTTTTTAATGTTCCAAAGAGTATGCATGCGATCTCTTATCTGCAAACTGTTTGTTGCATTATGCTTTACTCCTGATTTATTTGTACTTAGCTACTAATTTATATTGGTTAATTTGATTTATTGCATACCGTGTAAAAGTTTAGTATAGCATTTCTTGATAACTTTGCAAAGTAAAAAAAATAAACTGTGTTGTTTTTATAATAAAATTTAAGGTAAATCTTCAGTTCAAGGAAAGTGATTCTCTTGAGAATAAAGTACCTTTGAAATAGTTTCTACTTTATTACAGTTGTGATGCATATAAAACCTGAATTTTAATTTCTTGTAAAATATTTTTTTTTCTGTATGAAGCTGGTAAATCCTTTTCCCTACGGCTGTTTGATAAATTTACCATTTTTAAAGAACAGTAAATTCTGTAAATTCCATTTAGAAGATTTCAATTTAATACATTTAACAGGGTAAGTTAGGAATTATACCAGCATTAAAACGTGAATCAGATCGCATTGTTTTACTAAATAAGTAACACGAGTACTTAAGCACTAACTACAGTTTGCCTTTTGCACTCCAAAGTCTGACTTATTGTTCTTTCAACTTTTGGCTTGTATCAAGTCAGGGCAAAAATGAAAGCGCCGTTTTCTGATTTAGCTACATCTTTAAGCATTAAGGTTCTACAGCTACTGTGACATCGTCAGAATTACATCATAATAGTAGCCCCCCCCCCCCCCCCCCATTTGTTCTTGCATCCTCTGGCTTGTGCTTGCGCCTGAAACGCTGGAGCTAACGCCAAAAGCATTGGGCAGACATCCCACGCCATGAAGCGTCAGTGTTTCCTTTCATGTTGACATCAGTTCCTGAAATGTTCATATCTTGTGTTCTGGCTTTTAACTGTGTAGCAGTGCTTCTGACTATCTGACTAACTCTCAATAAATGAATTTTTTGCCCCCTAGTGAAACCTATAACACGATGTTTTTATACTATATACATCTGTACTGTTTATAACATGATGTCCATACACTCCCAGAAAAAAGGGTAAAAATGTGTACCTTTGCTTGTACCTGGGGCTGTACCCCCAAGGGTCTGCCAACTGTACCCTATAACTGTAGGTAATTGTACCTTTTAAGGTACAGAAATGGACTCTGAGGAACATTTTTGTACCATTGATGGTACATTAATGCTGTTTGTACCTTTGGGATGTTCCGCAGAGTCTATTTCTGTACCTTAAAAGGTACAATTACAAGGGTACAGCCACAGTGACAA